ATAAGAGTTGTATGAGCCCCTAATAAAACGATTAAAAAAAAAAAAGAAAGCACCAGGATCATTTAGGTTTGGTGTTGGACTCAGATAAATATTTCATAGTGAAAGAAAGTCAAACAGATTAAGGTCACTAATATTCCATTTTAAAATTACTTATTTTAAATTGAGTCTCTTCTTCACTCTAAATCACAGCTTCTCATAACAGCAAGGATTATTAAGTTCCTTAGTAGTTTAATGAGACATTGTACTTATCAGTAGAATTTTAATTAGATACTTTTGCTATAAAATACTTAAGCCTTTAAAAAGATATCAATCCTTTGAGGAACTAGAAATATATATTTTTAATTGGACATTAAGAACCGTAATAATTTTTTTTTCCTCAAAAATGGAATTGGTAGATTTACCTGGCAGGCATCCACTTTTCCCTCCAGGTACCCAGCACACAGCATTCCAGGTGTGATGATACCACCATATACCTCTTGATTGTTACATGTCTTATTATCTATAATCTTCACTAATCCTTTTTGGAGTATATTAGGGCTTCTTCCTGACACAAGAAAATGAATAATGTTTGCTAATATCAAATACATTTTTCAGTTTAGGTGATTAGTGTTTATTTTTTTTCAAAATCAGTGTGAAGCACCCATTTTAGTCAAGCTTTTATATTCAAGTAATTGTTTAAAATGCCCATGGTGGGAAACCTGCACATGGTGTATGCATTCATATGTCAGGAGTTTACATGGTGTGTACATTCATATGTGGGGAGTTTTTTTCTTTTAAATTATTTTGGAATTTTATATTTATTTTATATGGGACTTTGAAAATAAAATGACAGATTAAAATTCCAGAAACATACATTTTATGATTGCTTTTAGATTTTCTGCTAATTTTGTTACTGTAATTCCAAATCTTTGAACTAATTTTTTAAAATGAAAATGACTATCAATAGTCACAAATCTTTACATTATTAGTGTCAGTAGGATGCATATGTTTGAAGAGTTTTTATGAAGTATCACCTCATCACTCAGGGCAATCCATTTCACTCCATCATAAATTGCAGTCTTTATTCTCATCGACACTACTCCTATATGCCCAAACCTTTGTAGCCCCTAGATAGCACCTATAGTTGATGAAGCCAAGACTTTTCCTGATTTGTGTGTCCAAGACACCTAGTACAGTACCTGCCACAAAGGTGGTACTCAAAATAAATCTTTACAGAATGAATAGTGAATGAAGGAGGTAGTGAAATGGAGGAAAATGAATTATTTGTCTTACTAATATATTCCTATAAAGCTTCCACTTTAAAGGGAAATTATGGTCAACAATTTCATAAAATGTGTATCTTTAATATGAATCTTATTGAAGATATTTTTAAAACCATTGTACATTTTCCTCTTTAAAATGACCCAGATGAAGTATTTTTGAGATTTGGTTGTGATTGGGGGCCTTTTTCATTATCTTCCAAAATTAGAATTATGCATTTGAATTATGGTGCTGGTGAGGAATACTGAAAGTGCCATGGGCTGCCAGAAGAACACATCTCTCTCGGAAGAAGTCCAGCCAGGGCTGCTTCTTAGAGGCAAGGATGGCAAGACTTAGCCTCAAGTGTTTTGGACATGCTGTCAGGAGAAACCAGTCCTGGAAAAAGACATCATACTTGGCAAAATGGAGAGCCGGTGAAAAAGAGGAAGGCTCACAGCAAGATGGACTGATACAGTGGCTATAACAATGGACTCAAGCACAAAAACAATTGTAAGGATGGTGCAGGATGGGGCAGTGTTTCCTTCTGTTGTCCGTAGGGTTGTTGTGGTGGTTAGATGATTTCATGTCAACTGGATACTCCGGGCTCGGGATGGAGTCAGTCCTGTCCCTCATGTCACAGCCCGATGCTGTTTCTTTGGGGTGTGACCTTCCCCTTTCTCTGACTCCCCCCTTTACCTTTCTGCCTGCTGGGTCTGCCTTGAGCTCAGAAACCTGCCAAAAGTCTTGTCATGTTTTCACTGACCTTGGGTTCACAGGACTCTGTACCCACCAGCCAGTGACCTTCCTTCGTTCTGCATCATTGCATGTGGCTTTTGTGGGCCTGAAGAGGGACTTATGGACTAGTATCATATGTATGGACTTGATTTGTATTGGGCTGGGATGATTTCCTAATATAGAATTATATTTTTATATAAAGCGCTTTCTTATACATATATGAGTGTCACTGGATTTGTTTCTCTAGTTTGCCTGACCTAACCTAATATAGAATTATATTTTTATATAAAGCGCTTTCTTATACATATGTGAGTGTCACTGGATTTGTTTCTCTAGTTTGCCTGACCTAACCTAATTGGTTGAAACGGATTGATGGCACCTAACATAAAAACCTAGCCTAACCTACCCTACCCTAACAACATCACAATATTGGAAAAGGTTACAAACTCACCATCAGATTTTAATGTTCCCCATCCAGTAACCACTGCTTCTGAATTAGGAGAGAACCTATAAGTAGCTTCTGGAAGACACGCTCTTCGGATGCTACTTGTGTACAATACTGGTGAAGACAGATGCACAACAGCAATGTCATAATCATGTGCAGGGTAGTGGTAGTTCTCGTGAATTACAATATCCTTGACACTTCGCTGGGTTTTTTGATCACTTAAAAGAAGGCCAAAACCAACATTCCATTCTTTTGGCTCATTGGCCCTACAGAAAATAGAGTTATGTATTAACAGTTCTGTATATTGAAGTCATATGAACCCAGCTTTTATTCTTTTTAAAATAAAAATATTTCCAATTCTCATAACTTAAAGCATACAAGAGTAAAGCTATATATATGAGGGTGAAAATAAAATGCTGATAACAAGAATGGATTTTAAACAATTTTGTGCTTTAGTGGATAACCACGGAAGCAATATTTTCCCTTGTTTTGTCCAGAAATAGATAACTGACAAACATAAATATGACACTACAAGAGAAAAAAATGTGGGTAAGGATACAGGACAAATTTTGCTCAAGTAAATACAGGAAGTAGTCTGAATTCTTTCAATAGCCATTAAAAACTATAAGTAGGAAGGTATGTCTGACTTTAATTATTTTAGTCAAGAATTTGTATATAAGTGCTCAAAAGGGTGCTGCAGTAACGTTAAAAAATTATCTAAAACAAGTGGCAAAATAAGTATTATTTTAGAGATCTAAACAAGCTTTAGAGGGACTCAAAACAAGCAAACCAAATGAAGAGTTAGACAAAATCAATAGAAATTAATGAAAAGAACAATCCAAATGAATATAAAATCTTAGTTGAAAAAACAAACTTTTTTTGCAATAATGTATAATTTAAAGAAATCATCATTTTCAATAGGACTAGCATATAAAGGAGAATGCAGGATGAATTAAAATATCTGATAGCCTGATGAATTTAAACAAATATAACAATCAGAGAGACATAGAACCCTTATGTTCAATTTGAGATTTCTAGTTTCTTAATACACTGTAGAAAATGTTCTCTATTCCACTCCCACCCCCACCTTGAGACATCTGGCAATGTCTGAAGACATTTGGTTGTCACAACCAAGGGGTCACTTGACAACTTCCCACAAAAAGTAATTATTTGGTTACAAATGTCTCATCAGAGGTTTTGAAATGTTGATTTAGTCTGCATCTGTTCTTTTACTGTTCATTCATTCAGTAATTCTGAGACTGCAGTTCACAATGTTCAACAGCTGGTGGTGTAGCTGAACCATATGTGTCACACATTTTGGGATCTGAGTGAAGACCAGGGTTTACCTTACGAAACAGTGCGCAGCAGTGACTAGCCAGCTGTTACTAATCAGGGTGGCTCCACACCGGTGGACCTTGCCCTGCTGAAGGCTAGCTTGCCAGGGCCACTCGCCTTCCTCGGCATCCTTGCCTCCTGCTATTTTGTTGCCAGAGGGAGTTATTGTGCGTTGTCCACAACCTGTTCAAAACAAGAGGTTCATTAGCATTGATATTACTTATGCTTATATTTTAAAAATAGGCAACTGTATATCCTGATAAATTATCAACTGAGGGAAAACTACTTGGGAAGTTAGAAATGACTGGTTGCTGACAAAATTCCCCAAGAAGGCATTAAAATATAGGCATGACTCAACTCAGCTGACTACCATTGAGTTGATGCCAACTCACAGTGACCCTATAGGACAGACTAACATCCTCTTTTCCTCCTCCTCCTCCTCACTCACATACATACAGACTCTCTGGGGCTGCGTGTTTTATCCATGATCATACTTGAGATAGGTGGAATTAAAGGTTTGAATGCAGAAGACAAATACATAACAAGTTGGTAAATTGCACAGGAAAATGATCCTTAATTAAAGGAGTAGTTAGGTATTGTAGAACTATGATTTCTTTGGAGACATTCTTAAGCAGATGTGACTGAATGTGAATTAATTATTGATAGGGAGATCTAGTAGACAAACAGTTGTTCAGATTCAAGTCAAATACATAGTACTTAGATAAAGGGAATGATAAAGATAGCCATTTTTCAGTGTTCCATGCTTTGAAAATTTACAACCTTGCTTAATATCTAATTCAATCCAGTGAAATTGCTGGACTTTTAGAAGCTTAGAAGAAAATCTTGAATAATGGTAAATAATAATAACCGCTATTATTCTCTCCTTTTCTCTTTACTATTTCATCTTTATTCAATTAAAACACCGAGTTGGTGCTATATGTAGTTTACTTGCTTATCATCCTCATAATACATATTACAGAGAACAGAGGACAAGGAATGAGCTCAATAGACACTTGTGGAAATAAAATCTATACTCTGTAAGCCAGGAGACACCTTAGAACAAAGATGACGCTTGACTGCAAAGCCATTTCCTGTAATGAGGTTCCAGCCATTGAGAGAGTGAAAAAACTTACAATAACAAATGAACAGGACATAAAGTGGTCACTCTCAATCAGGGAGGAGTTTGCCCATCCTTCCCCTGCCCCCAGAGACATTTAGCAGTGTCTGCAGACATTTTATGCTCATTCCACCTGAGGATATGCTATTGGTATTTAGTGGATAGAAATCAGGGACGGTCCTAACTGTCTTTCAATGCATAGGATATCATCTCCTCAACCCCCAACAACTATTTGCTCCCAAATGTCAGCTGTGTTAAAGTTGAGAAATACTGGATTTAAAAAAAGTCATATGTACCAAGAAAATAATATTTAAATAATTGGAAGGGTTAGCTGGTCAAGAGATGGTACCAATTGTATATGACTAGATAGATATATTTTGATGTATTATTTTCTGAGGATGGAAAAGTATTAGAAAAAGGGAGGATCATGTTCACTTTTGTATAGACCTTTCCTGGCCTACTGAAGTGCTTAAGTTTGTATATTGCTTTGAACTCTAGATTATTTTCTTGATATTTTTTAAAGGCATCCTATTCTTAAAAAATACTTTGCTGAATAGATGGAGGCTTTGCAATTGCTATGCTTGCAGGGGAGGACTCTCATGTTGACTCACAGAATGATGCTAGGAAGAGCAAGCAAATAATCCAACACCCCAAAGGTAGTGGTTCCTCCCTATCCTGCTTTTTTTCTGTTTGGACAACTCCTAAAGGAAGTTGGCTTTTATTCAGCTTCTTTCAGAGGACTATAAAAACAAAGCTGCTTCTTTGTGGGCTAGGAGAACCTCACCCTGAGACTCCACTTCCCTGTTTCAGCTCTTACTCAGATTTCAAGTCTAATTCTTACCCATGCATCATCTCCCATTCTGAGTTTTCATTTAGTCACGATGGCTGTGTCTGTTTTCAGCTATCATCTCTGAAATATCACCTCGTTATTACCTCTTAGGAGGCACATTTGCGCTTTTGTTATCAACAGTGGTGAGACAGTCAATTTTAAGGCTCCAAGGAACACAACGAAGAGTTGTTGACCAAGCCTTTGAAGACGACTGGAGAATTTATCAAATTCTTAGAACATCCCTACCCTTCCAGCTTTTACTCTAACACTTATCACTGTTCTTTAATAAACTATGTTATATACCAAACCTGTTTTATGAAAGCTTTCTTGTCTCACCACCTGTTTATTTAAAGGATGATCAGAATCCCACATAGGCCAAGGCACATTTAGGATATGGACTAGTATTCCTGGTGACTGACAGGCAGATAGGCTACTCTCTTTCTTACATGGCTTTTATTTCAGTCTTGACTCTTCTGCCTGGCAAATTCTCATTTGTGTATTACAATTGAATTGGTCCTCACATTTTTAATTGGAATAATGAAATTTAAAAATGTTTATCAAGTTTTCCGAGGGTTAGCCAATAAAAACCTACCAAGAGGAATATAATCTAATGCAACTTTGTGCGTAAGTTTTGCCCAAGTTGTTTAGAAATATCTATGTTTGTGAGTGAAAGACAGTAAGAGTTGTGTCACTGTCACCTGGCTCTGACAAGTGACTCTTTTAACCAGTTTACCCACTTAATCTCCGTGCCCAGATAAGAGCAACACTTCTCCGAACAGTCTGCTCCAACATCATTCATATTCTAGGAACTCTGGGGATCCCTTTGCCCTTGGCAGGAAGTTAGAGACTGGAAACAATGCCTCTATCTGCAAGGTAACAGCTTGCTTGGATGGAAGGCAGCTTTTTCTTTAAACATAACACTTGGGTTTTAGGATGAGAATTCTACAGTGAGTTCCTAGGCCTAGTGCTTTCATAGGTAAAACAGAAGACACAAACAGGTCCCATTTGCTGAGTGGGAGACAAAGGAGCCTGATGGAGTCCAGGGTTATGTTGAGCTGCTAACCCACCAGTTGCTGCTCAGGAGGAGGTAAGGCTTTCTGCTCCTGCAAAGATGTGCAGCCTGGCAACTCACAGGGGCAGTTCTACTCTGTCCTTTAAATTCCACCCTTTAAGGGTCAGAATTGACTCAATGGCAGAGAGTTTGGAGTTTGGTTATTATGAGCCATATATTCGTGTGAGTGCTTTACTTGTATTACCTTATTTCATCTTCACCATAATTTGGAATAGAGGCTTTGAGAAGTTAAATAAATTCTGTGCAAATCCATTCCATTAGGAATTGGTAGGTCTAGGGCAACATTTCATTTATACCTATTTTGGATTCTAAGATATTTTTCAATAAAATTTATATTGTTTTTGATAATATACACAGCAAAAACACAACACTAGGTCTCTACATCTATAATTTCATGACATTATCTATGTAATTCCAATTGTGTACCCATTCTCCCTCTCTTGTTCTTCATTGTCATAATCTCACTGTGCCCTAAGGTTTCTAGTCCATCTTTTTTGTTACTGTTGTCTATTTGATCCCATATAGATAGTTTTAAAAATGTTTAATACTCAAGACAGAACCTTACTACAATTAACCTGAAGAATTGTTTGGTGTTAGGAAGATTTCAGAGGATATCTTTGGCTTAAAGCTTAAAGTTTCAGGGGTTGATCCACGCCAGAAAAGTCTAGCGTTCATGGCTCCAGAAAGTCTAGAGTTCATGATCATTTGAAAATATGTTCAGCATTTCCTCTCTTTTTTAGGATTCTTCTATGAACTTGTTGATTAAAATGTTCGGTAATGGTAGCCTGTCCCTACCTAGTTCTTCTGGATCTCTTTGTCAAGGAGGGAGTTGTTCCTGGAGGCAGTTAGCCACACATTCCATATTCTCCTATTACTCCTGATTGTCCTTCTTCCTTTATAATTCCAGGAAAATTAGAAAACAATTGTTGCAGCTTATATGGCTGCTTGCAAGCTCTTAAAATCCCTAGAACTACCCCTCAAATTAGAGGGTAGAACAGAAGCACCAGATGCATTAGGCCAATTCACTAGTATGCCCATAAAATCATGACCCTAAACCTCCAAACCAAGAAACCAGATCCCTTGAGGTATTTATTTGGATAGAAGAAGCCTCAGCAGCTATTTTTATTTATTTATTTTGTTGCTGTGGAATGTGTATTTATCATGTAGCTTTTTCCAAATCAACTTTTACAGGCATACAATAATAAGTTGCTGTACAACTTTACTTTTAATCAATGTGATTTTTCCCATTACTCTTAACCCTCCTTGTTCACCTACTGTTCACTGTTGGTCACCACTAATAAATATTCTAAGTTCTTAATCATCATTGTGTTTTCCTCGCTCCCTGGGCCCATCAGCACTCACGGTGATAAGTAGATTCTGGCTCACAGCGACCTTTTAGGAGGATACAGTAAAACTCCACAAGGTTTCTGAGACTGCAAATTTATATTTGCCTGATCAGCTTGCTTCATTTTTCAGCTACAGAGAGGCTGTTGAATTTGAACTGCCTACCTTGAGGTTAGCAGCCCAATGCATAGCCCACAGTGCTACCAGGGTCCCTTTTATCCTGCCTATCATAGCACATACTAATTAGTTCTTTTTAAGTTCATGACATCAGTCAAGTTGGGGCCAACTCTAGGTAACTTCCTTTGTGTTTCTAAAAGCATAATTTACATTACAGTTAATAGGTATAGCCTTGACTTCCAAGTTTCACTAGTCAATAATTACTTTTGATGTACTTACAGGTATTGAGAAGATTTTCTGCTGCTGCCATTTCCATATCTAAAATTCAAGGGGAGAGAAAATGTAAACATTTAGCTTTTTGAACACATTTGACCTTATATATTAACTAACATGTGTTATTTTGTTAAGGTGCACATCATTATCCTGTATGTTTAATCATGTTATTTTATCTTGACTTTAATTTCTATGTTAGTATAGAGGATAATAAAATCTTAGTATTCATTCTTTTGTTCCACCATTATAAACTATCTGGGTTCTAGACAATACTGTAGTAAAAAAAAGTGATCATCCATTACAGTGAACCCTCGCCACTTCGTGCTTCGACTTCCGCGGCTTCACTCTATCACGGTTTTTGCGTAACAGCGCATGCTCTGTCATTACTTTCACTGATTGGCTCATACTGTACACGCTTGATGCCATAAATAATATAATAAATAATAAATGATCATTGTAACGTCCAAAATGTTTTACTGTATTTTCCCTTTTTCGTTTAATAAATTGGGTAATACGAGTGTAATGGTGACTAAAGGGTGTTTTTTCATGCCTTCTATGCTCTAACTACGAAAATATTTGATTTACAAATAAGGAATCTTACTTCGCGGAATTTCATTTATCACGGTAGGGTCTAGAACCGATTAACCGCGATAAACGAGGGTTCACTGTATATCTTGAATCCAAATCACCATCAAATGGAATATATCTGATACTTTTTATGATGTATCACTTCAAATATTTTTGGCTCATGTATTACCGTAGCCATTGCTGTGATCCTTTATCAAGTTTGGATCAGTTTTGCCCAGCGGTAACTTAGTAGATGTTCTTAAGTCAGCACCCAAGACATTTCAATTCCTGACAGAAGAAACCAACTGAACACTCTTGGATGCACAACCTGTAAACGTTGGGTTTAACATTGCTCAGGCCGTTAATCATCCATGTAAGAAGGGCGCTTATGGACAAACGTTTTTCTATTTGGTTGCTTAGGAAGACATTTCTGAGACACAATTCATAGGTCTCAGGGAATGGAGCAACAATTGCGCTTAGCAATGTCCATCTCTCCTACCCCATTTGTTCTTTCTCTCTTATCAACTACCAGGAAGCAAGCCATTGTTCTTGTATTTGGCTCTGTTGCTTAGAGGTCCAGGCTAAGACATTAAAACACTATATACCATACTAAATAACTCTGATAACCAGGAGAGTACATATGCTATTGTTATGTGCCATTACGTTGATTCTGACTCAGTCACTCATAGTATAACAGAACAAAACACTGCCTGATCCTGTACCAGCCTCCCAATCCTTCTTGTGTTTGAGTGTATTGTTTTAGCCACTGTGTCACTTCATCTGGTGAAGACTCTTCCTGTTTCCTTTAATCCTCTATTGCAACAAGCCTGGCGTCCTTCTTAAAATGGGCCCTTTTGATACTATATCCAAAGCAGCATGTGAAATCCAGTCTTTCCATCCTCTATTCTAAGGAGCATTTTGCTGTACTTCTGAGACAGATTTTCTTTTCTTCTGACAATCTATGGCATATTTAATATTCTGTGTTGACACCATAATTCAAAAGCACACATTTTCCTTCAGTTTTCCTTATTCATTGTTCAGCTTTTGCCTGCAGATAAGGCAATTCAAAATACCACAGCCTGGGTCAGGCTATACTTTAAACCTCAAAGTGACATCTATAATTTTTAAACATTTTAAAGAGGTCTTTTGCAGTAGATTTTTCTCAATGTAATAAATACATTATTTGGTTTCTTGATCGCTGCTTCTATGGGTGTTGATTGCGGATCCAAAGTAAAATGAAATCCTGACAACTTTGATATTTTTCCGTGTATCATGATGTTGCTTATTAATTTAGTTTTGAGGATTTTTATTTTCTTTACATTAAGGTATTTTAATCCATACCGAAGTCTATATCCTTTAATGTTCATCAGAAAGCACTTTCAGCAAGCAAGGTCCTGTCCTCTACACTTCACTGTTGCTAATGACCCTCCAATCTTTCTGCTGGGCTCCTCTTCATGCAGTCTAGTTTCTTGGATATCTTGCTCATCATGGGCTTATCAAATCCTTTGCAGCTGCCTTCCTTGGGGTAATTTTTGTTTGATATGAACTACAGAATTTAGTTTTGAGCTTGGTAAAATATATCAAACCACATGAACATTTAGGGAAAAAGTTAACTATTTCACCTCCTCTGGGAAAATGGTGAGTCTTACATTTTAAAAATGACTTAGAAATCCTACAATGATACAGACATTTTTTCTTTGAAGTTTCCTTTATTTGTACATGATTTGCTAAAAGGAATGATATTTGTTGAGCTGACTTAATTTAGTAGTAGTATTATCCCTCAGGAACTTAGCGATGAAGTGGTTAAATTTCTTAGTTGCTAATTAAAGAGTCAGTGGCTTCAACCTACCAGCAGCTCCAAGAGAGAACGAGGCGGTGGTCTGCTTTGTAAAGAGTAACTTGGAAACTCTAAGAGAGTTTCTACTACTCTGTTTTATATAGAGTCGACCTGAGTCAGAATCAACCCGATGACTGTGGTATATATACATATAATACCAGAGCTTAGTAGAATAACTCCCACTTTGGAAAGGTAGAAGACAGTGAAGCTACAATGAATGAGGAAGTGAATTAAGCTGTCACGACACTCTTTGAACTGAATCACTGCGGTGCCTCTTTGTATTTCTTTCCTTTTAGGCCCTTTGGTTATAGGCAAAAGCTAGAACTGCTACAGATTTATTTCTGGATCTAGGAATCAGCAAATGTAACCTAGGATACTCTGTTTAAAATGTTCCATCAAAAGGAAGAGACAAAAACAATGGTCCTCTCCCTGCCAAGGAGGTGGTATCAAAGGATAACAAGACAAAGCAGTTTAAAAACAGCTCAGCAAATACGGAGATTAGAAAGAAATCTCATACGTTAAGTGGCACTTTGAAGCTGGACTGTCTAGAGCTCATGACCATCATTTCACGTCCGCTGTCGCTCCTGTGCTCCCTGCCACCGTGTCCATGCCCACTCATCGAGAGGACTGTGTGGATGCTGACTGAAAAGGAAAACTCACTCGGAAATTAACTTCCAGTGAGTACTTTATTCCCTAAGAGAAGAAATTTATAATGAAACATATATTTACAATGAAAATGAAATTGTATGATTCTGAAGTATATGGAAGAAATCTACAGAAGCAGCATATTAATTAACTCATAATATCAATTCTATATAGACCAGCTGGGGTCCTTGGTTTTGGTTAAGTGTAAATTTACTAATTTACATGTGTCCAGATGCTAAAGCAGTTGATGAATTCTGTTTCTCAGATGGTATTCTTTTGGTATAGCATTAAAAATATATAGGAGTTCTTTTGTGGAATGCGTTTTATGGAATATTTAAACATATCTAAGTGGTAGATCTTTAAAAACTTTAAAACTATAATTGTACCTTGCTTTATTGAGCTAGGTAACTATAACAGAATTGTTTTACAATACAATCATCTTTCATCCTGGAGGCTTATTTACAATATTTTTTGTCAAAAAGTGCTACTCTGGAGATTCAATATGACTGCTTGCTTTAAATGGCAAAGGAAAAGAGCACAGACCTAGATTGTGGTTGAATAAAATCCGAATCACTCACTCACTATAGTTTTCATTAGTCATCTGGTTGCAGGTGGACATATATATATATATATATATATATATTTTCAGTTAGATTGGAAATTTCCTCTGTGGTCAGACATTACATAGCATTTACCATTGCTTAAAGTGATAATAGATTTAATTAAAAAATAAACTGACCATCCAGACTTTCATGGAAATAAGACTTCCTAAATAGGAAAATTTTAAATTCATATTAAAAGTAGGCACTTCATAGTAAAAGGATCTCTTTCGATATGTATGCCATTATACTTTGAAGCTAAAATGAATGAAAAAATAAACTAGTTGTATCTTCAGGTGTTAGATTTTAAGGTAGAACTGTGCTTAATTTTTTTAACCTTTAAGCAGATTTGAAATATTTGAAATTTAAGATACCTATTTTTGTTTGGATATTATGTACAAGTTGCATTAGGTAAATCTGGAGCCCAAGGCCTCTTTAGAGTATTGAAAAGCAAGGATGTTACATTGAGGACTAAGGTGTGCTTGATCCAAGCCATGGTATTCCCCATTGCATCCTATGCATATGAAAGTTGGACATTGAGTAAGGAAGACCAAAGAAGAATCGATGCATTTGAATTATGGTGCTGGTGAAGACTGTGGAGAGTACCATGTACTGTTAAAAAGGACAAACCAATCTGTCTTGGAAGACGTGTGGTCCTAATGCTCCTTAGAGGCAAGGATGGTGAGACTTCGCCTTACATACTTTGGATATTCTGTAAGGACGGACCGGTCCCTGGAGAAGGACATCATGGTTGGTAAAGTAGAGGAGCAGTGAAGGAAAGGAAGGCCCTCAAGGAGGTGGATTAGCGTCCTGGTGGCAACAATGAGCTCAAGCATTGGAGTAATTGTGAGGAGGGCGCAGCACCGTGCCGTGTTTCCTTCTGTCATGAGTCAGAACCAACTCCATGGCACCTAATAACAACAATATGTCTTGTATTTTAAGCTTTGAAAACTTAGCAGAAAGTTTTTGTAACGAGAGGACAAGCTGAGGGAAGGCTGGTGAGGGAACCCAACTTGTCATATCCATGTCCACAAGTACCAAGGTGAGGACTGAACATAAAATCTAATAGTAAGAAAAATAATGAAATTGAAGTCATCAGTATGCAAAAAAAATTCTGTAAACCATGACTAAGAAAATAATGTGCTGAGCAGTGTGCAGAGACATATAGCATGCATTTTTTTTTGCAACAAAAATATTTTAGTTGGTGCTTCTAGTGTAGTGTTATGTCCTCAGTATTTGATATTTATGGCGATGATAATCAAGTATATCATGCTGTGAGGTCAGTTTGTTTGGTAATATCATTTGCATTGTTTTTCTAGTTGTTAATTTTTATTTAAAGTTTGAATCACATGAACATTATCATATATATGTCTGTTTTGATTGTTAAACTGTAAAAAAGCTTGCGATCTAGTAAACATTTATATTATGAAACAATAAAGGTAAAATTGTGTTAGCTAAATTTAATTATTGAAATAATAATTTCCACTTTAAATGAATGTGATGTTTAAACATACCCATAAAGAAAGCAAGACAGAAAACAAGCCTGCTGTTGTTGAATTGATTCTGATTCATAGGTATCTTGAAGGTGGCAAACTTCCTCATCGGGCTTAAACCTATGTGGAAGCTGTCAGCCTACATGGAAGTAGACTGCCATATCTTTCTCCCGTGGAGCTGCTGGTGGGTTGGTACTGCTGGCAGCTGAACACTTCAGTCAATGGGTCACCAGGCTCAAGAATTAATAACAAAAATCAGCTGCCATGATGTTGACTCTGACTCACAGGATCCCTTGTTCAAGCAGAGCTGTGCACCACAGGGCTTCCAATGACTGATTTCCTAAAGGGGATCTCCAGGCCTTGCTTGGAGTTGATTCTGGGTGGATTTGAATCTTCAACTTCTTGGTTTGTAGCTTGCACTACCCAGGTGCTGGACTCAGTCATTCTGTGCAATTCATAGTACTGAAAATTGTCTAAGTCATGTGAAATATATATATATAAATACAAAGCATGTAGTATAATGAAAATGTATAATGCACATATAGGAAATCTTAGTGACTTTTTGTGCATACATTTTAGCATGTAAAAGAAATGGTGCCAAGACTCTATTAACAAATGAAAACGACAACAACAAGAAACCCTGACATATTTAACCTACTGAACTAACCAAACGGCATCAGAAGTTTGGGCTGTCCAATAAGATGTTCTGACATCAACTTTGTTTGCCTACATAAACTGACCTCAGATCTCCAAACCCATTTGTGAGGTGCTGAGTATTTTCAATCCATCTTTGTAAGAACTGCCTTAAACATGAGCCTCATGTCAGCTCATTTTGATGACTTTTGGGGGCAGTTAGCTTTTTGGCTGCTAGATTTAATCCTGCACCTGTGAACCTTCAGTAAGTGTTATAGGCAGTTAGCTTCTGATGTGGAGCGAGAGGTGAAGCTAAGGCAAGGTTAAGACAATACTAAACCATAGTCTTTACCTACCTATGTTACACGTGCTAGTCACTGTTCTTCAGACAGCTGTAGGATGGCCATACAAAAATAAAACTACTGGAAAAATGAAAGAGCTATATAAGACCACCCCCCACCCCCACCCCCAAAGGAACTTGACCCTCACATACTGCATTTGGAGGAATACTGCAAATATATATTTTTCACACTTGAGTTTATAGTTTTTTAAATAGATTAGCTCATAGAAATATAACTAGGTGACATCTTGTTTACAAATTGGAGGGGCGCTACCCCTTATCCCATTCACATGAGGTAACTTCCAGAATAAACTCTGAGAAGGAAAGTTCTAAAGGGAAGCACAACTTGATGCTTCTTATCCAGAAGGAGCATGTTCCAGTGTTCCAGTTTTGCTTTTGGATACTTTTGCTGTTCCATGCAAATGAACCCTTGCCCTACATTAAAAGAAAATTAAAGTATGAAAAGAAAGCCCTTTTAGACCTTCCGGTAAGGGTGGGGACACTTTTCTGGCCTTGGTTAAATTTGTTGAGGCAGAGAACCAGTAGCTCAGCTTAGCTGTGCCGGGTTTCTGTGTACGTACATTATTACCAAGATCAGAGAGGTTCCCATTATCCGGGGAACAAGGGGAGTGTGATCTTTGCTTTTTAGAAGGCATTTTTCACAATATTGTGATGGAGGGATGCAAAGTTCATGAAGGTCGATTAGGGAGTAAGGTACGCATCAATTTTGGAAATTTGGAGTCTGGATTCCTCTGTGGGAGGAATCAAGACCCATAGAATAAGTCATCTGAGTTCCTGGCTGCCCTGTTTTGTAAAGAAATGTTTATTTCGGACCCTGCTTTCTTTAACAGTGGTTAAAAGTAACTATCATTATGCACAAAACCCCAGAACATACATTCAAATTAAAAGATGAAGCTCATCCTGTACCATACATGACAAAAAGGCTTACCTGACATTTTTTTCCTTACCTGACATTTTAAATGAGGAAGGCTCTACACACAAAGACCCAGTGTCACTCTGTAGCTTTTGATATAAAATGGTTTCAATTTCATCCCAAAATTTTTCTGCATTGTTCTTAAAGTAGGATTTAAACTTCAGCACAGCATGCACTACGACTTTCCCTTTAGCTTGGCTGTAAAGAAAAACAGAAAAATAAGTTATGCTTTTATTCTTGTGCCTCCCTCACAGGGAAGTTATTGTAGCTTTCACGGATTGCAGCTCCTGGCAGCCTTTCCAGCCCCTCACAAGGAAAGGGAGCTGTCCTGCCATTTGAAGGACATGGTAGAGTAGAATAACGAGAGGTTGATTTTGATGTAGGAACTGGAGAACGGAGTTTGTTTTCTAGATCTGCCGTTTGCCAGCACAAGCTACTTGTATTCTTTATACCTAAGTTTTCTCATGTCAGTAAGGTGGATGGTAATATTTACCGGGCTATTGTAAACATCCTATAAAAGAATGATTTGAGAATCTCAGAGTGCTACGCAAAAAGTATCTATTAATAGCAATATATCCATGTGTTATAAATCCATTCTGGATTCTGCAGGAAGAACTCATGGGGAAAAAATGAAACATAATGGGTAAGATGAGAGAGTCATTCATTAATTTGACTTTCTTTTAGCTAAGACGTTCAGTTTGTAGTTATTCATCAGTTATCTCACATCTGTCAGAAATCATGGCCGAATATGGGAAAAACCTTAGACTGGATTTATTTTAATTTTTAATTCTGCCATAGAGATGCAAATATGTAAGGCAAAAAATTTAAAAGGGAGGAACTGCTACTTACCCAGGGGAATGTTTAGTCTGTTCTAACCTTTTCTTTTTTTAATCATTTTATTAGCATCTCTCCTTATTTGTACAATTGCCAATCCAAAACATCCCAGAGCTCTAGCTAACTCAGGAAAGACCTGAAAAATACCCATTTCCAAACCTTTATGACTTGATCCAAAAATAGAAAACAACAGAGAGATTTTCCAAGTGATTACAATCCCTTTTTGTTTCCATTTTTCCAGGATAAAAATGTGGATTAGTTAATTTCTAATATACCTTACTTAGCACTTACTTAGCAGATGTCATTCCTTTGGAAGGTATGAATGTGTTGTTTCAATTTTCTTTGTAAGCTATTGTAATTATATGTTAATTTTGCATTTTAATTTCTCTTTCTCCACTTTTATGTTTCCTACAGGTGCAATGTCAATTTTATCTGATCTGCAGATACAAACCCTTTATTTATTTTTGATGAGGATTACATGTTACTTTGTTTATTTTAAGGAATGACACGGAAATCACCCTGAACTTTTCTCCTGGGTCAAATAGCGTATAATCAAACTAAGTATAGACATATTGATTCTTAATCTGATGTCATTACGGTCATATGGACCTCTCTATTAACAAAAACATGAACTAAAATTGCTGAAATTTTATCTTTTCCTAACTCACAACACTTTTAATTTCTGTGAAAAAAAGTCTGTAATTTTTTGCCACAGGCAGTTTTTCTTTCCATTCCTCAGTTTCCCATTCATTCACTCATTCACTCACCTAACAGACATACATTGGTCCACAAAATATATCAGACACAGTTCTAGAGACCAGAATTCTATCAGCATATAACATAACAAATTCCCTGCTCTTATGCTACTTATATTCTAGTAGGAGGGACAGATAGAGATGAAAAGACAGACATGGCACCATCCTCAAGGCGAGCAGTCTGACAAGAATAGAGCAGTGATGGAAAAGTAGAGGTGGAAATGTTATTACACAAGGGTTTAGGGAAGGCCCCTTTGACGTGACCTAATGACAAGAAAAATGAGTCGTGCTAAGACCCAGGGAAGAACATTCCAGGAAAGAGGAGTTGCAAGTGCAAAATCTCTGTGTTGGGAAAAGTGTTACTAAAAAAACAGAAGATACATAAATGTAGGTAGAAAGTGGTAAGGGAAGTCAAGGGTACTGGATAAGACCAGAGAGGGACAGGGTCATGCGGACTATAGTAAAGACATTAGAATTTATGCAAGTCCTTCAGAGATCATTAACCAAAGAATTGGTGTGCTTTCCTAATTCACTTGGGTTGCTGTGCGAAGAATGGTTTATAGTGAGGACCAGAATGAAAGCTGGCTATCAGATCATAATAAATAATAATGAATAAATAAGAAAGAATTTGGGCTGGGGCATAGGAAAGTAAGTCAGAGGAAGTGGCAAGTGCTTACAGTCTCTGCATTCAATAGTTTGTTTCTTCTCATGATCGTTTCTATCACATTATCCAGAAAATTCCCCACATCAACCACTGGAGCCTAGTAGCAGAGTGGATTAAACAGTGGGCTGGTAATTGAAAGGTCAGCTGTTTGAACCCATGTGCTGCTGCTCCTCAGGAGAAGGATGAGGTCATTTGCCATTGTAAAGATTTATAGTTTTGGAAACACTGGCGAACAGTTTTACTGTGTCCAATAGGGTCACGGTGAGTCAACATATCAGCTAGTGATTTTGTCCCAAGAATGACTTACTTGGTTTACACAATTAAAAGTAGCAAGTCAGAATACTCCAAACTCACTCTCCTTGAGTCAATTCCAACTCATAGTTATAGAAATATGCCTGTGGGTTGGTTTCCAAGCCTTTTTATGGGAATAGAAAGCCTTTTCTTGATCCAGTGGAGTGGCTGGTGGTTCTGAACTGCTGACCTTGTGGTTAGCAGGCCAAAGTTTAAGCATGATGCTACCAGAGCTCCTTAAACAGTAGCAAGTAGCACTGTGGAATGCTGATTGACATGAAAATTTGAAGGCATAACAATTAATGGATCAAGTTTTTGGAAAATTATAGCTTGTCAATTATGGCGTTTTTAATTTCTTGGTCTGCCTTAGTTATCTAGTACCGTAATATAGATCCACCACTTTTCTGTTAGTTTGTCATGTTGTGGTGGCTTGTGTGTTGCTATGATGATGGAATGATTTCACTGATATTTCAAATACCAACAGGGTCACCCTAAGTGAATAGGTTTCAGCAAAGCTTCCAGACTAAGAACAGACTACGAAGAAGGGATAGCCTGTCCACTCATGAGGAATTAATTATGGAAAACACCTGGATAACATCAAAATTCATATAATGCCACGAATAGAAGAAGAACATTGTTAGAGACAGTGACTGAAGATGAGCCTCTTAGTCTGATGATGCCTCCTTGGGGGTGTGGCTTAGGAGAGAGACTGGGAACCATTCCTCTCTCTGGTCCTTTGCCTTCCTGCCTGCTGGGACTCTGGGTCTGTATCTAAGTGCAGCTCCATGGGGGCTGCTGGCCCTGGGAGCCACCACTGAGCTGTTGGTGTTTTTCCATGTTCCCACCAACTTTGGATCCATGAGACTCTGCACCCACCAGCCTGTGATGTCTTTGTATCTGACTTCACTTTCCTGAGTTACAGGCCTGCAGCTATGTGAGTCTGAGGAGGCTGTAGGGTAACATTGAACCTATGGATTTAAAATGGATGAGGCTGTGATGTTTTCTTGATAAAAAATTACTTCTTGACATAAAGTTCTTTCTCTTTCTTATACATATATGAGTTTCACTGGCTTTGTTTCTCTAGACAATCAGCCTCACACAAGTAAGAAAGACCAAAGAAGAATTGATGGATTTAAATTATGGTGCTGGCAAAGAATATTGAAAGTACAATGAACTACTGCCAAAAGAATCAACAAATCTGTCTTGGAAGAAGTATAACCAGAATACTCCTTAGAGGCAGAATGCTCCTTATTGCCAGATCTTTTGCCTTTTAACAGAACTCAAAGTTTCTGTTTTTAATGCAAATTTCATCAACTTTTATATTTATCCCATTTTTCAAATATTTATACAAGTCATTCCTGGGCCACACATTCTGCAAATAGAATATCTTAGCTATCTTTTTCTTACTTTGAGCTGATCTGATTTTGGAGGTTTTTAAAAAAAAAAACGTTCTGCCCTGCAATAAAAACAAATCCCATCATCCATTTTTCTTCACCTTGATTGGCCTGTGTACTTGGTTCTGATTTGATAATTTTCTAATAACAGCTCGAATACTTTCTTTCATACACCCTGGAAATGCCAGATCATTTGAAACAAAAAATGTAAAATTATTTCAACTTTTTAATTATATATCAAGCAAAATATATTCTGTTGAATATGAGATGGGGAGGTGAAGGACCCTTTTCCAACTCTGTGCCTCTTAGGCATTTTACATACCTTGCTTGGACAATGTGAGATTTGACATACTGTCTTCTGAGTTTGGACTCATGAAATGTTTCATTTACCTGTTAAACATAAAATAGATATTGTTACATTTTCTTTATAGCTTTTACTTTAAAAACCACATTTACACAAAACAAGTAGAATTTTATAATGATTCCCATTTACATTGTTCAGCTTCACCAGCTGTCCATAGATGGCCAATGTATATTATTTTGCTTTTTAACTCATTTCCCACCCTGCCATATTATTTTAGAGCAAATAATTTAATTCATATACATTTATTCATAATATACCAGTGCGTATGTATATTATCTAACTGTCTGTCTCACAGAAGTCAGAGATAGTCCAGTGACAGGATTTCCATCTTTTGTGTAGGAGGTCTGGGTTCAATTAATGGCCAATGCATCTCAAGCACAAGCACCATGCATCAGTGGAGGCCTATGTGCTGCTATAATGCTAAGCAGGTTTCAGCAGAGCTTTCAGATTAAGACAGACTAGGAAGAAAGGCCTAAAGGTCTACTTCTGGAAATTTCACCAGTGATATTTTTGTATAAGAGTTCCAGTTGACTTGATGGCAGCTAACAACAATCAGTGGAGGGATATTTTTAAATGTAATCACAATGCCATTATGAGGTAAATAAAATTATTCCTCAATATTATTGATATTTCAGCCTAGGAAAATCTCTGGAACAGTTCTACAGGGTTGTTATGAGTTGGAATCAACATAACAACACACAAAAACAATCAAGCATGGTGTTCAAGTTTCCCTAACCATGACTCATAAAAGAAAAGAAAAATGCAATGTGTATTATTGTGTACATTGTGAGAATTATCTGTATGTTAAGTCATTTTCAGTAAAATATCTGTGGTCGTTACATAATCTGGTGTCAATTTTGGACTTGAGAGGATTAAAAGTCAAGGAGTGGAGTCTTGTCTATCAGTCGGGTCATAGCCAATGAAGCCTCTGGGTGGGCATGGCCTTCCCCTGAGGATTCTGGGAATTTCTGAATTTCCCCCTTGGAGGAAGGAGACTTTCTCTCTCGGCTCACTCCTTGAGAGTCACTCTACTGACAAGACACATGGCACTACGCTGATAGACCACGGGCCCTGGGAACTGGAGAAGCCACATGGAGACCCCTGCCAGCACTGAAATGCTTACAATGCTACTGGATCTACAAGACTTCCCACCCACTGTCCTCTGATCATCCTGCATTCAGTGTCATTGCATGTGTTTCATGAGTATGAGGACTTTATAGATTGGTATTAGACATATGGGCTAATGTCAGACTTATGGACTTGATCTGGACTGGACTGGGATGTTTTTTCAATATTAAATTGCTCTGGTGTATAAACTTCTTTCTTATACACATATGAGTCTCCCTGGATTTGTTTCTCTAGTCTACCCAGACTAATACAGTATTCTTAGGAAAAATTAAACTATGTAGTTATATGAGATGAAAAATTTGCTTCCATTAATTTTTTTTACATTATCCAGGAACCCCAGAGTGGAAGATAAGTGAAGAGAAGTAATGTTTTGATTTAGAGATTAATTGTTATTATTTTCTAAATAATTGTTGTTAGATGCTCTCAAGTTGGTTCCAACTCATACTGACGCTACACATAACAAATGAAACACTGCCCAGTCTCATGCCATTCTCACATCTGTTGTTATCTTTGAACCCATGTCACACCCACTATGTCAATCCCTCATGTCGAAGGTCTTCCTCTATTTTGCTGCCCCTCCACTTTACTAAGCATGATGTCCTTTGCAGGGACTGGTCTCATCTGATAACATGTGCAGAGAAAATATCAGTAATGAAAATCAAAGGACAATTAGAAACAATTAACCCAATGGACTAATGGATTGTGTGGGTATCAGTTCCACAACCCTGAAACTAGAAGAATTAGGTTGTGCCCAGCTACAACTCCCAACCCTCTGAAAGAGATCACATTAGATGATACTGGACAGAATGAGAGATTGTGGAAAAGGATGTGGAACAAAACTTAGAAATCAAAAAAGAGACTGATCTGTTCTGTAAACCTTCATGTAATTCAAAATATATATATACACATTCATACACACACAGTAAGGTCTCTTTTGGCCTATCTAAGCTACACTAAGCCCATTGTCATCAGATTGATTTCTACTCATGGAAACCCTTTGTGTTATTTATTTATTCATAATATGGAGTATAGAACTTCCATGTGTTAGTTTTTATGGAAGCACCTTACCAGGGCTTTCTTCCATGGTACTACTTGGTGGACTTGAACTGCCCATCTTAAGATTAGTTCTTATTAGGTGCTGTTGAGTCAGCTCCAACCCCTTAGTATCCTTATGTGCAAAAGAACAAAATACAGCCTAGTTTTGTCCGTTATAGTTTGTAAATAGTGATCAGTTTCCCTTATTCTTTTTCGGATTACTTCAATTTCTTATCACAGTTGATGCACTTATAGTAGAATGTTTGATCAGTTCTTTAATTGATTTACTGACCTATACTTATATGTGGGTGTCAATAGTAAATATTATGATGGAAGAGTTGGGTGGTTCTGGACAGTGTATGAGGGATGTCCTGTATTTAGAGATCTTCAGATAACAAGGAACTGGCAATAGCAAATGAGAAGAGAAATAAAATGTGGAGAGCTATCTTGGAAATCAAATAAAAGTAGTGGTGAGAAGTTTAAATAAAAAGTAAGTGTGGTGAAGAAGGCTGATGGTGCCCGGCTATCGAGACCTATAGTGTCTGGGGACTTAAAGGCTTGAAAGTAAACAAGCGGCCATCTAGCCCAGAAGCAACAAAGC